TGTTATTATGTAAAAATATTTTGTTTCTAAAAACAGACTTATTTTTTCCACTTTGTTTACTCAATACTAAGCCAGCACTCTCCAATTTTTGACCCTGCCTTAGAGCCTTAGTTCATTTCAGCATTCTATTTTGTTTACAAATTGTACATGTTTAAGTTGACGTTCTCCTGCTATCAACCAGGTAATATATATTATATATATAAATATATAAATTATATATATAAATATATTATTTAACCAGGTATTTTCATTTCCTCTTCTTTTAGCAATTGAAAAGCATGATAACTATTTTTCCCCGGTACTTTGGTATCCTTATAGCTCTGTATTTAATATAGGGAACATGGAGATAACTAAGTGAAATGTAAATATTTTGAGTAAATTAAATGTAAATTAAACTATATGAAAATTTAATCTGAGTTTAAACTATTTAATTAATGTACAAAATATCACTTTTAATGTGTTTGTCTAGTATTGCTGAGAACTCCGTATCTTCTAAAATAAACAGTACTAGTTATACAAATTCTGTTAAGTGACAATTCAGCACCTTAAATGAGGTAATATTTCCCACTAACATTTCACAGCTCAGTTGATTAGCTTTGCCTAGGTGGTAAGACAAATTGTTCCTAATCTATCTGCCTGTATCCAAAATGCTGGTTGATGGTTGAACCACTAAGAGCTTGTTTGTTTCCCTATACCTCACTTCCTGGTACAAAAAGTTGCAAAAAGTGGTATCAGCTGTCGTTTATGGTTCTCCCTTGCTATGGGAACTAAGATAACACAGGACAGACACAAGACCCATACAGAGCTATGGGAGCAGCTATGTACACTGGTAGGCAATGTGCCAGCCAAACATCTGAAAACAACAGTCAAATACCTCAGTTGATAACTGCAAGTGGTAGTAATCAGTTAGAATAATTGACTATAGCTACTAACAAAAGACATGTGAAATACAATTACAAGCAACCGCCCGCATGGTATTCAAGTATGATAGGAAGTAAACTTAGACACATTTTAAGTAAGCGCTTCCATTCTTTGTCGTTGAGTGAGATGGGAAGTGTGGGGGAAAATCCATCAAACATGGAGGAGGATGAAAGTTGAAAGCTTATTTCACGTGCCTGATGCTTTTTCTTACCAAAACTGATTTTGTTTGTAGTAATTTTATTTGCATTAAGTGTACGTATCAGTAAAAGCTCTTAATGATGTTAAGTAACTTGGAAAGGGCAGATATCACAGCAGTCCAAAAGCATAAGGGGGAGCAATGCGTGCTCTGGATGAATAACTAGAGCTCTTGGACTTGTGAATTCCTGATTCCTGTCTTTGTTTTTAACAGCTTTGTCTAGCTTTAAGCAAACCGCTTCACCTTCTTTTTATCACTGTTCTTGATAGAACAGGATGATAATATTTAAGCACAATATTTCATAAGGATACTGCGCAGATCCATTAATGAATCCATTTACAGGCCTTTGATTACCTTCAGTATATCAAAATGTCACTGCTGAGCTTGCTGACTGCACTTATTTCAGTTCTCAGTTGTACTCAGCTTCTAGATTATAAAGTTGTGGCGTAACTCATGATACAACTAAAACTATCACCCCAGAAGTAACATCAATATTCATCTACTACTCCTTAGAAAAAGCTATAAAGTACACAGGTTGAATTTTCTTTTGTTATTATAAAGATTTATTTGCTCTACAGCAGTAATATCCACAGAAAGTTTTCTTCTCTGTCAGTATTAACTTCTTAGATCAATATGTTGTGATACTGATCTCTAGAGAAGTTAATGTCTGCCAACTATCATTGCAGTGTTTACCCTTGTTGAAAAGCAGTTGTAGCAAATTAAATTGGCTTCTGTCTGTGAATGATATGCATAAATTTTATGATACAATTAACTAAGGCTGATACATAAGCCTCTTGCTAGAGAAGATCAAATTAAATACAGGGCTCTGTAATGGGAAAAGTCCCAGTTTACAAGTGAGGTGAATCTGTTCTCATTTAAAGAACAGTGTCTGAAGGCTCAAAGACTGATGATTTTAAAGGAGTATGGCTTTAACGATGTGTCTTTGTATATTCTTCAACTGCTGTATTGCTTGAAAAAACTGTTTGCATTCTCTAATTTGCCATTAGACATTTTATGTTGACATACAGGATTATGTTTTGTTTCTCTTCTATTTGGGCATACCTATCTCAAAACATCAAGCTTACCACTACTTAAAAGTGGATCCGTGAAGACCCTTCCTTCTCTTTCATCCAGCTGAAATGGATTCTGTCCACAAGCGGGTTCTGATCTTCAGTCACCAAGTAGCACATACATAAGGGAAATGTTTGTTTTCTGAAATTTATTTTCTTCCTTTTGTTCGCATTATTCTAAAGAAAATTCCTGATAATTACTTTCTTTAAAACATTTGTCTTCAAATAAAAATGATTACCACAGCCCAGGAGCAACTTTCTTCTACCTGTTCATTTTGCAGTGAGGATGATATATATTTAGGCTGATCAGTTGTAGAAATTGAAAAAAAAAAATTGAACATTAATGGTTGAGATTGTAGAATAGCTACTGGCAGAATTCTGCTGATATCCATTTGCTGCTTTTTAACATCCTGCTAAAAAAAAAAAAAAAAAAAAAAAAAAAAGGCAAAAAACTTCAAGCACTTAAACCTACTCAAAATCCTTTTTTTTTTTTTTCCTTTTTTTTTTCTTTTTTTTTCCACATAGGCAAGACAGTACTTTTTAAACAATTATACTCACAAAATATCTGAATTGCTTGATATTCGGATATCTTTTGTGTAGAGAATGGATTTTAGATGTTTAAAGCTTTGCAACATTCTGTGCTCTTCAGGGTACTTGGATTGTGATACTGTCTCACTCAATTCTTTGCTATAACAAACTGTTTTAATGACACTGAATTTAATTAATTTATACTGCAGAGAAGCTTTTCTGCTGCTTTTCTTTTGTTGGAGAAAAAATTGCTAGAGTTGCTGGAGGGGCTGCTGAGGGTATGTATGCATGAATAGTTGCAGTCAGACCTAGTCACTTGTGCCAGTGTTCCAGTCTGGCAAGACTCAAAACTGTCCGGAAGCCATACGGTCATCATGCCCATAATATTGTCCCCTGTCTTGTTACAGTTTTGTTAGTCCAGGCACGGTGCTATGTCAGTATGCTGTCCAGACAAGGGCTGTCTCATGTCCATTTTGCAGGAGGAGCTGATGTTCTGCTAAGGCCAACGTGGGGATGTGCCCTGGGAAGTCTTGTCAAAACAACCTCAGCATTCTCAAGGTTGTTTGGTCTTTCTTGGATTTTTAGCTACTGCTGAAGAATTTGCAGCTCATGCGGTGTGCAGGGGGGTCAATCTGCATTGCTGATTTTGATACTGAGACAGTTTCAGTGTTGGACTGTCTTCCCATTCACTTGTAATTGAAAATTAGGGTGTATGATTTGGTTTGGAAAGCAGTTGCTTAGTTTATTTTTTTTTTTCAGTACTGTGTTAAACACAAACTCTCTACCTTTAAGACAGAGCATTCTCAAAGAGGAGGTCTCTAGTTTTGACTTTACTTTGGATTTAATCTAAAAGAGCTCTTCTTCCCTTCTGTTTAACAAATAGTTTCAGTCATTTTCCTTGATGAGCAATGGCAGGAGCCTAACTGTTAGTATTTGTAACTGTACTGAAAAGAAAGTGGTGAATGTGGTAAAGATATTGGCTTTCTGACACAGTACAGTCTCTCTTATTCCCCAACAAGCTCTCTGTGTTGCATGGATAATAAACTGCCTATTTCTCTCTCTCTCTCCTTCATAAATAATCACTGTGTCATCCTCTTTCCTTCTTTACTTACATTCCCTTTATTCAAGAAGCAGCTGTTGTCTTTTCTTTCAGATATGGTATAACATACGTATCTATTTAAACTCAATGATTTTCTCAATAAGTATAAATTCTGAATTGTCTGATATCAGTTATGACATAGGAATTTTGTGACAAGGTTTTCTTTTTTTTTTTTTTTTCTTTTCCTAGCTGGCTGAATAAAATCCAGTACCTACATTTATATATATATTTATTTATATTCAAACGTTAGTGAAACTTAATGGGGTCCAGCAATATTCTTTACTTTCAGATCTTGTGCCTATCAAATGGGTCCCATCATAGTGATGTGAAAACATATACCTGATTAGTTAATTGCGTAAGATAAATTTATTAAATCGTGGCACTCATGGACTTGTTTCCCTAGAAGTATTACGCATTCTAGTATTCTTCAGAAAAATTTTGTATCATATTTGCATTTTCTTAAAGATTTTGTTCTTCCGTCATTATTACCATTACAAATGAAAAAGAGTCCCCATGCTCCTCTTTTACATGACTTATCTATTCAAATGAGAACTATGTCAATAGCCTTAAAAAGACTGGATTTTTGCATTGGTCTATTAGTCATTTTGCCTGGATACATTTACTGACTTCATTATTAATTTTGCTGTTCACTCTTCAGTTTCATCTACTAGTGCTCAATTGTAACATATACTAACTCATGGGAAAGGGATCTTTTTAAAACATTAATTCGGATGCTTTTCTGCAGTATGTTTTCATATTAGTTTTGCCTTCTAATTTCAATATCTGACCATCAAATCAATAATTTATATATTGTTGTCTGTTCTGCATGAGATTTTGTTTTAATTTTCATCTTGCGTGGACGGTTGGACTAGATGATCTTGTAGGTCCTTTCAAAATTTGTGATTCTATGATTCCATGATTATTCTTTGTAGATGTGATACAGTTACATGTTTGTGCATGTGTTTCAGTCTTCGAATGAGGATTTTGTTCAAAATAAAAAAATAAATACTCGTTGTGAAACACTCTTTTACTAATTAGTGATCAGTATTGTATAGATGGCAGCTGCTTTCTCAATCTAATTCTGTTGAATTTTAAGTATAGTTTTTGAGCTCTTTCTTCCCCAAAATACGAAGAGAGATTTGTAAAACTTGATTGCCAATGTGAATTTCTGTGTGTTTTCTTTCAGAGTACAGACATGAGTCCAGCTAGCAGCACTACCTCACTCCCTGTTAGCCCTCTTCCCGAAGAGCCGTTATTTTTTAAGGTATAGTTAATTCATTCTTCTATAAATACTGTATGTGTATTTTGGCTTCTGATGTGTTGTGAAGTGCTGTTACTACTGCTTCCTTTCCTTTAAATTACTGCAATGTCAGCAGATGGTCTTATATAACACAATACTGTGAAGATTTTAAGAAGTAACTATAATAATACATTCTTAGTTTTTGGGAGGGCTACTCTTTCAATAACAGAAGAGACTGGAACTATGAACTGTTATTTAAGAAAAAGAGGAATATGTTTTAATATATCTCATCCGCTACTGATTTTTTTCTGATATATGCATGTATATATGTCTGTATATCTCTGAATGAGATCCTCTCCGATTGCCCAGGAGTTCAGAATAGTGCTGTCACTGCAGGCCAAGAGGTATCATTGCCAATTGTTGGCTGAGACAAGGAGGAGACTCATATGTTCATTGCCATTGTCTCAACTGTGTGACACCAAATTAAGGCTGAGGAAATAGAATTAATGAAATATCATAATTTTTGATTTGAACCTATTCTGCACATGTCACCAATGCAGGAAATAGCAGCCTCTCTCATACTTGCCCAATTCCATTTTAAAAAAAATGGTTTTCTCTTTTTTTGTGAACTGTCTCACTTTCACTGTCCTGTTAAAATCCTGCTTCCAATTTCAGTGCCAGCTCAGCTTCCTGTATCTCTTTTCATAGTTTCACTCCCGTCTTTTTGCCTTATTTTTTCATGTCTGTAGAAAAGTTGTACCCTAATGTTCATAACCAGCTATCTAGTCAGCAAATTCCTGTTACTGGAATGGTGCAGCTTTCTCTGTGGTTTCATCAGTGGAAGTACACGTGCATCTTCATGGTCAACTCTTTTCTGGTGTTTAATGCTTTCAAGACCCTTAGCTCTCTGTCAGATCTGGCTGAAATGGAGCAATATTTTGCCAAGATACTGGAGTGTGTGCTATCTTCTTTATTTATTTATTTATTTATTTATTTTTCCCCTGGGAAATCACATGAAATGCAAATGGAAACATTCTGAAAATTATGAGGCAAATCTTGTAGTTATCATTTCTCCCTCTGCCTGGGGAAAGAGTAAGATATGTCTTCGAGAAGCAAGGGACTTTTCAGCTAAGATACAAGGTGTAGAAATCTGGCATGAATTAGTGAAATCCTCAGCTGAAATAAGTGCACTGATCTGTTTGCATCAAGAAAGCTCTGACACAGTGCCTTTATTTGGTTTTAAAGGAAATCATGCTTGCATAGCTGAAAATGAGCTACAAATGGCTTATTTGAAGTGGAAAAGTTATTTCAATAAAAAAAATTAAGGTACTTGTTCATATTAAGAGCCCTTTGTATTTTGCATTAGAAAATTGTACAGGAAACCAATGAGGGAATACATTTTGCTATGAAATTCAAATGAATTGAAATCAAATACATCGCACAGCAAATTCTCTTAAGTATAATTAAAAATAGAATAAAATGTAACAGTTTATGTTGTTAATTCCTGACTCATTCCAAGAGAGAGCAATATTGTTCCAGAAATTATGTGAATGATTGGTTTTACAAGCCATGACCTTTTCCAAAAACTGTCAGCTTGTAATATTGGCTTTTGATGCTGGAATGATGCATTTCTCTCAGAATTGTTATAATAACTCTTCTCACCTCCTTTGCCCTGTGTAATGAGAAGACAGAGAAAAGATCCACTCTATGATTCTGGAAACACAAGTGTTACAAAGTGGGATAATATAAACTTTGCATATTTTTAGGGCAGCTGAAGGTATGTAAGCTTTTATACTACACTGTGAAATGAAATCAAACTCTCGTCTCAATGATTCCTGATTTAATACCAAGGAAGTGAGCATCCGACTTGACCAATGCAGATGCTTATGATTCTTAATCCTGAAGGATATATGTGCTCTATAAATGTGATGGAGAACTCAGCTTCTTCAAACACCATTGTAAGATTTTGAGTTCAGTCTAAGGAAAGTGGGAAGCACAATTCCCATGGGAGTGCTTGCATGCTGTAACTCAGTTGTAGAGATAGCTGCTCAGCTACCATTTTCACATTATGCTGTGTGTGCTATGACAGGTAGCTCTACCACAAAGATCCAATTCTGGTGAGACCATACCTTTGAAATAGTTGGAGGGAAGTTTTTTCCAGTGCAGTATCAGATCACCTGTGTTCATTATGTATATATTATTCTTATAGAATTATTATGTTACATTTATTAAATTCCTTCTACAGAGGAACAAAAGAAATTGAAAGCATTTCAGTAAGTACTGGGGGTAGCCAAACCCAGTACTGCTTAAACCTAAACCCTTGAGAAGACTATCACTTGAACGCCTTCTAGCAATATTCACTTCTTAACAGCTGCAAATAGTGATACAGTAATGGAAGCTGGTTTTGCTTGAGCGAAGATCAAATTTGCACAGTAGCCAGAAGTATAACCAATTCTTTGTTTGGCATCTGATTTCCTTCTCCCTGTTGAGTTAGAGACACATTGCATTCAGAGCCTTCCATAGCTATGCTCTTTAAAAGCATATAGAAAAATCCTGTTCAGACATGCATGCAGACAGTGCACTTTCAAAAAGCTTTTCTAAACCAATTTTTGATGAAACACTCAAAGGTATTCCTTTTCATTCAGGGTTATTTTTGTGTCAAATTTTGTCTTTCAGTTCTCTGCTGTTTTTTTTGTGGTTAACATTATTATTATTTTTTAAAGAGCTAGATTTCTTCCTATATTGTGGTAAAAGCTTATCCTATCACAGAAGAAAATCTTTTTGTTGGTGGTGATTTTGTACTTAAACTTTTCGGTAGGGAAATATCTTCCTTTGAGCAGAAGTTTATCCTTCTGCTTCTCTGTCATATTTATTGAAGAACTGGAGTCGTATCTCAGGGAGAAAAAGGAAGTGATGCCACAGTTGAAATATTTCAGAATTAAGAATCTGAAATGCAACAGAGCAGAATGGCATTTGTCATACCTTAGCTAGATTGATATTCTATACTATAACAGCAACAGTGCAGCTTGCTCAAATGCAAGAGGCTTTTAATTATGACTATGTATATCTGTACTCAGGATGTGTAATTAAAAATAATGTTGCTTTTCATTTTGTAAATCAGTGAAGGAGGGGGTGTTTCTGGCATGTCAGCTTAGAAAGCAGTCTTCCACTTTTTACAGCCTGTTCCTTTCTCCTACTCATTATATCATGCTTTTTTATAATAGTATTTAATTATTTTAAAAAGTATTCTACAGTATAGTGGCAGGCACTTTTAAGAAGACATCCATGTAGTCCATAAGATATGTTATATTATCTAATTAAACTTTATCTGTTATTATGAGCAACAGTCTCATTGGTTATTAGCCACAACCATATTGTAAATACTAACTGTAGTACTTATTATAGCAGTGCTTAATTGCATTTGAACTCCATGTTGAGTCTCAACCATGCTTTACTAATTGGCATTAAACATGAGGGAAAAAAAATTACTTTTCTTTCTGCTGTGAGGGAGCTAAGAATTTTCTTCAACGCTCATTATTTTAAAGTGTTCTCATTTCTGTAATTAATAGTAATGCTAATTGTCTGAGTAAGAAATGGAAGTGCTAACACAAGCATTAAAAACTAACAATCCTTAGCAGTGTTATCACTGTTATAGGTCTGGTAAGGTATGGGTTGATGGTCAGTTAGGTCTGTTCTAATATTTTGTCCATTTACCTCACAGCTCTGAAGGCTTTGTGACCCCAATCTTTGTAGTTAGTACTGGTCATAATTCTGGCACCTTATGATATTTGTGCCCACTACTTTATTAAGAGAGACATTTTACATCTTGGCAGTTATCAAAGTAATAGTCTTAGTGCAGATGTTTGGAATAATCAGTATGACAGTCACCATGATATTCCCTCTTATTTAAGGCAGTTTATCTTTCAGAGTGTGACTTAACACACTTGGCTAAAGAGCAAGGTCTTGTCCTTAAAGCAAAGTTGACAGTTAATTAGACTTTTACTTCATAGGTCTGTTTATGAAGCAGGACCCTTTAACCTTTCTTCTTTAAATGGTGATTTCAGTATTTTAAGCATTTACTTGCTCTTATTTGAATAGACCATTTATTAATGTATTGTTTCTCTTTGTTTTCAAAACACAGAAATGGTCTCATGGTCATTATGGACTGTGAACCGGTACAAATTAGGTTTTGATGACTCTCACTCATAGGCTGGAAGCTCAGTGAGCTCTTGTCCCTCCTTTTCCAGCCTGTTCCTGTCTTTCTGCCTTCATTGAACAACAATAGAAACTATGAAGCACCTTAGTTTGCTGGGGTTTTTTTTGTTGTTGGGTTTTTTTTTTTGTTTGGTTTTTTTTTTTTGGGGGGGGGGGGGGGGGTGTTTGGTTTTGGTGGTGTTTTTTTGCTGTTTTGGGTTTTATTTGTATACAGCTTTTGCAAAAGTAATGCCTTCTATTTTATTATGTTGGTCCATGACATCAGAAGCAGCTTTAGGTTCTGTGACAGTAGAGGTTGAACCTTTCTGCCAATATTCCATTACATGTTGTTGTCATGTGACAGATGGCTGCAGTGGGACACTGTGACAGAATGGCATTTGACTTGGAAGTGCATATGAAACAAAGGTTTCTTACAGAATTCCTACACGCGGAAAGCATTACAGCCACTGACATTGAATGATGCTTGCTGAATGTTTATGGAGACCAAACAGTGGATGTGAGCACAGTGAGGCAGTGGGTGGTTCACAGTGTTTCAGTGGGTCACCTCTGCAGATGAGGATTTTTCTCAGTGTGGCCTGCAGGCTTTTGTGTTACTGTGCTCTTTGTATCTGTTACAGTTTCCATGGGTAAATCAATGGGAGACATTACTTTTAGAATAAGATACATAATATTTTTGTTTATGTTACAGAAATGAATCAAACATGAAGATAATTATCCAAGTGTTACTAACTCAACCCCATCTCCCCTAAACTGCACCTCTTGAACTCCAGATTATTTCAAATGATTCTCTCATCTCTAATTCACTGGAT